CGCAGTGCACACATCCCCTCAGTCTCGCAGCACCCACACACCCACCACCCCATCTCGCCATCAGGGGCAGCATGGGAAGCCACAGCCTCTTCCTGGGCAGCCTTCCCCAGGAGTGCTGGGTGTCAGCCGGCAGTGAAACATCCCATCTATTATTCATCAGGAGGCTTCTCTGCGGGTCTCCCTGGAACATTCGCCAAGGGCTTTCCCTTCCATTAGGTCATTAGCTCTCCCAGCAGGCTCGGCAGGAGGTGGGAGTGGGTGGGCAGGAGTCATTAGCCCTGTTGCACAGGGAGAGGAGGCAGGCCCAAGGGAGCCACACGGTCAGTGAGAATCCGGGTTGGGCTGCGAACGTGGGTGCTCAGGCTCTGACTCACCCCACGTGGGGGCAGGGACTTCACGTATGGCCTGCCAGCCCCGAGATGTCTGAGCCTGGGGTGGCCTGTTGGGGCCCAAGTGGTTGATGGGTGGGTGTCCTTGCTGGGTGGGGGGGCTCCCCTGCTGCTGGCTTATTTCTGAGATGTTCAAGCAGCGCCAGCTAGAGGTGGGGGACCCGAGCCTGGCTCTGCCCTCTCTACGGTCAGCTGGGATGAGTCTCTTAGGGAGAAGGGTGCTCCTGAACTGAGGAATCTGTCACACACAGGAGGGAATTCCAGCGACTCACCTCTACCCTGGGTGATGCCCCGCCCGAGGTGCTTCAGAAGAAAGGTCTGGCAGTCCCATTCGGAAAGGTCCCAGCCATGAGCACAGCTGCACTCCCTGGGTCGGAGTGGACTCCCTGGCCCCTGGTTAGGTTTGGTTGAGCCCATAGCAGTGCAGGAGGGCTGAGAGTCCCCACGGGCCACGTGGCTGGCTCTAAACGTGCCGGCTTTGGGTGGGAGGCCTCGCCCAGGGTTGGCTGGAGGAGGACTGGTTGTGCTATGGTGGAGGGTGGGGGACTTGCTGCTGCCCAGTCCTGGTGGGCTTTGGACAGTGGCTTTGGGCTCTGAAGCAGACTCTGCGGAAAGGCCGGCCACCAGCGCTGCTGGCTCTGAGTCCCTCTGACCCTCCCTCCCAGGCTCGCCAACCATGCTGGGAGGTCACCCCTGCGGGAGGGCTGGCTTGGTCAGCCCATGTCCCCTCAAGTGTCCATCTCTGGCTCTCCTGGCGGTGCCTGGTCTGATTCTCAGAGGTATGTGGTGCCATCCTCAGCCCGCAGGGCGCCTGGCGCCAGTCAGACATGCATTTGCATCCTGTCACTGCTGATGGGCACGCCTTTGGGCAAGTCAGGTCAGCATTCCCTGCCCTTTTCTCTGACAAATGGACGACAGCGCCCACTTGGCAGGCCTGTGACAACGGGCAAAGACTGCTCAGTGAACCTGCCTCGGGGGGAGGAGGGATGGGGGGGGGGACCACAGGCAGGGGCCATCCCTGCTCCTCCTCTTCTGGAGGGAGAGCCCCAGGCCCTCTCCCTGGCCCCCCAGGGCGCTCTCTGGTGGGAGCCCTTTCCCAGAGCTGCAAACTTCCCCCAGTAGCTGCCCACTGCCAGAACTCCAGGCTGCAGCCCCGCTGGGAGCTGTGAGAGTCAAAGCCTTCCTCCATCTGCACTCAGCCTGCCAGCCACCACCCCCGCCTCCCCCGCCTCCCACCCGGAGGTGAGCTCCAGGCTCTGTGTGTGGCTGTGGGGACCAGGGCGGCTGAGGCTGG